GAGGTTTTAATAGGAATTTCTGATTCACAAGCAGTCCCCAGCCATGTATACACACTTTTAGGATCGTATAATCCAATTTAAATTCAGAATTTCCTTCTCCTAGACTGGTTACCACCCAAGGCTATGGGACCCAGTTTGTTTTACTATTTTACTCCTAGCAGGTGGGAAGAGTTGGATTCATAGATTTTCCAAGAGTATTAGCACATAAGTGAATATAATGAACTTGACTTGAATTCAAACTTGGCTCTCCAATTCTTCAATTCAAGCTACTAAACATTACTCCACTGTGTCTCCATAACCTCAATATTAAAAAAAAATCTGGTAAAAGAAGATAATTTGTAATTTCTGGATTTTATATACAAGGTTGGATCAATGAGTGTGTAGATTGGCACATTTTTGATCTAAAACTTTCACTGTATAATATTCAATTTATGTAATTAATAAAGAGATTGTGTTGTATACATTGACAATGAAGTCAATTGTAACATATTTTTGCAAGATGCCTTTTTTCCATCTTTGGATTAAGGAGTTATTATTGTATTTATGTAGTGTCTGAAAATGTTCTTGAGGCATGAAACTGACAATCACCATACAGTGTTGATTCATATGTCCACACTGTCAAATATTGTAAATTTTAGAGCTTTATGCTTTGTTCCAAAATTGTCTGGTAAACATGTTTTTCGGGTATTGATGTTATTTGTTTTTCTTTAAATATGAAAATAAAAACGCCACCTTTTGCCATAACAATGTGAGCTCAATTTCTTTAATGTCTTTATAGTGAGCGAAATCTATTTAGGTATAGAGAAATGGCTGTTTAGCCAATGGGTATTCGACATCTGCAAACAATAAAACTCTATCTTTAAGGCAATTACAAGGGAAATGCTTCTGACTACATAAACAAATAATTACTCAATTGCTTCAGGATTTATAGCTCAAAAATTTAAGCAGGGAGGGGAAAAAAAAAAACTACTTATTATTTTCTGCAATGCAGCAAAAGGCTTGACCTTGCAGATGTAAATTGTTTTTGTTTTTTAATACTCAGTGAGGAGAGATCTTTGTTTATGTTGTCTGCTATGTGATTCTGCTGCTTGTAATATCTAGCTAAAGTACCGACAAATGTAACAATGTTTATGAAATCAATAAATACGGCTTTTATTGTTTGGTTTGAGACTTTCTTTTATTGATAAGGACATCAACAGGGGTTAAATCTGAAATCTTAAACTGGCCCAAGGAAATTACAGGCACTGCTTGAAAAATGTGCTTTATGTATTCATTGAATTCTTGTGCATAATACACCCCCCCTTTCTTATTATGTAAAAAAAAAAAAATCAAATGAATATATTTGGTGTAAAATGTAACACCTGCTTTTTATATGTAACAAACAGTGAATGTATTTTATTTTGCGTAAAATAAAAACCTGCTTGACTATGGAAAGGATGAAACTTTCAGTTTACACAATGCATCATCTTAAGACAATTTCAGGAAAAAAAAGTGTAAATACGAGATTTTGGATCTTCTTATGGGGGCTTTTGCTATGAAAGATGATGAAACTCTAATGATTACTAAGGAGTGAATTAACAATACAAGTTATTCTGACCAAACAAAAGTAGTAATATAACCAAGCTATAGGATCACTGTAAATAGCAGTTACTTCATTGACATAAGTAAACAGTTGTCAAAATATTGTGTATAATATCAGCTCTTCATTTGGATTTTGGATTTTTCATTGTGCAAACTTTTGTTGTCTGCTTATTGAAAACTTATTTTTTTAATATATTTAAATGGGTTGTATAATGATTTTATGTTGGCACCCTAGCTGTAACTGCAGACATCAAGAAATCTCAGTTTTCCATTTAAGTGTTATGATAGGGGAAATTTTGGTGTTGTTTTTTTTTTTTTTTAAATCTTAACGGAAACTACAGAATCCACACTGAATCGCATTTTATAAATCACAGATTTGCAAGTATGTAGACAAAATCAAATATACTTGGGATATTTTCATAGAATATGAATCTGGAGGAGGAAGAATTTATATAATAGTGTAGACATAAAAATCAACAATGCATAGTGACTGTCAGTTTCATATCTTAAAAATTAACAGTCTGATGATTGTTTCAGGTGTGAAACTGACAGTCATCATGCAGTGTTGATTTCTATGTCCACATGTTTTTATATCTACAAATAGTCTGTTATCGATGATATTGAGCACTCTTCCCCTATAAATATAGCAAACTTTAAACAATATAATTCTCTTTCTCACTCTCTCACTCACACACACACGCACACACACACCTGATGGTAATTGGCATAGAAAACAAAATCAGGAAATCAAGCTCAAATTTCTGCTAAAGTTGCTTATGTGTACTTAGAACTAATACTTTTAGAATTCATTTTTCCCTGCACCCTATACTGTTGCTAGATATCTTGAAATGTCTTATCTCTAGTGTGTCATTATTGAGGGGAGAAGAATATGCAAATTGGTACTGAGCAAATCATTCTCCCATAACTACCACTTACAATGTAATAAGTGCATGGGGCAGGTTGGTTGGAACGTACGCTTTCCACCCATGAGCTCTGGGTATGAATTTCACCTGGGTCGATTTATCAGAAGGTGATTCTTCATGCTATTGGTCTGTGGAGGTGATCACAATGTGCAGCAGAATATGCCTGAAAAAAACAAAAACCCAAAAAAACAATCCATGGGCTGACCCAACCCTTGTCAGTGATTTTTGGGCAGGTGGAACTGTTTGGAAGATGTTGGTGATTGTGCTTGCACAAAGTTACAAGTCATCATGACTGAGAGTTTTCGTGTACTGGCCCAGTTAAAAAAATATAAATAGATAAAATAACTGTAACTAAGGTTTGCTCAGTGTAATTGTAGTATAATAAACCACAAGTGGACTCAGTAGGTGCTGAATAAACAAAATGTCCTTGAGCAGACATCACATAACAGGGATTGGCTAGCTGGCGTAACAAGAAAAACGTAAATAGCCATCTATTTTATATAACAAAAAAAAAAAAATGAAGAAAATGTTATACTTGTCTGCGTTGATGCCCCCCCAAAAAAAAAAAAAAAAAAACCCACAGAAATGTATTCACCAGGTGCTTTCATCATTTGATGACCTTCAAATCAAGCATTTAGTGTGCATGTGTTTAGTCATTTACTAAATTCATTCTGGCACAAGAATTGGTCTATGAGAATGAAACTAAGCTAGTCACATTTGTATTTCAATATAATGTGTGTGTGTGTCTTATTTTATACTACTTTACCCTCTACTGTTAAAAAAAAATGACAGCCATATTGAAGTAATTTTTCAATTGCATTAGTTACATTTTCTCTATGAGTAATTTAGGATTTTCATCAGTACAATTAACTCTATTGTTGCAGGTAAGAAAGAATTTTGCTTTTTATATCATAAAAAGTAAAAATATCCAAAGAAAATTAATACTAAATAAAAAGCAATATACTAGTAACTTGTTTTCTTTCCTTTTCATGCTAATAACATATTCTGTTATGGTAACACAAGGCACATTCACAAGTGGGCTTTGTGCAATAGTCCTGTTAATATAGTAATGGAATATCTCATTAAGAAGTGGATATCAAGCTGCATGAATGATAATATAAAGTCACATGATTGTGTTTTTGATTATAGAATAAATTACACAATTGTTTGCAGATATAAGTACAGATTGTATTGAGCTTAAGTTTGTTATTTCAAGTTTCTGCAGACAGACTAAATATAGAACTGCATAAAACATTTTCTCTACAATTGAAAGCATTTTTCATTTCATTTTTGATGCCCTGCTCTTGGGGTTTTCATCAATACAATAGACATAGGATTTTTTTTTTTTTATACAATTTGCTTATAAATGACTTTTTTCTTTTAGCTAAATTTCATGCAATTCCACAAGTGACATCAGTGTTGTTTAACTGAAAAAAAAATAAACTTAGTGGATTGCTTTGTGAATTTGGTGATATAAATTTGAGTTTAATTCCTGGGGCAGGCAGTGTACTTGGACACAATGGAAAAATGGTGAGCAATAACTGAGTAATACTAAAATAAGAATTAGATGAGGTGTCTTGAGACAAGGCCAGTGGAACGAGAATAATCTGCTCTTGTAGATTGAATAAAGGCCTTCCAAACCCTGCTGTATCTTGGGTCTCAAAATCTCCATGCTGGTACACCAATTCTTCACATCATGGTCACTTGTTACTCAAGGTTTGCATTATGCACTCATGCATTTCTTTTGACATTTTCTTCTGCAGAAACTTGATGAGTTCAACACTTGAAAATTCCAAACTTTCCTTTGATGCAATTCAGTTAGGGATCTGAAACAAATTAAAATTAAGCACACGTGAAGGATATCCTGAAAATTGTCATATCATAATATAAAAGAATAATCTTCCCAGCTACAGGTACAAAATAATACTCAAGTTTGAGAAATGGGCTGGGCTAAGAATTTTTCAGCACCCTCTTATATGTGTGTGTTTATGGTTTGAGGTCTGATTATTACTTAAGGCATAAGAATGCCAGTCACCAGGAAGTGTACTTTTTAATATCTATACTGTTAATATGTACAAACACTCTATTCATGAAATTGAGCCTCTCCTCATAAATATACCAAATCTTATATAATAAATGTGAAAATATCTGTGTCACATTTTTTTCAATTAAAGGGACACAACTCTCTAACTTTCAATAGCCCAATTAAGAGCCCTCTGCAAGAACTAGCTTAAATAAGTACATGTTTGTGCAACACTTCAGAGTATCATCCTAAGCATGTGTCAGTTCATATATAATACCATAGCTACTCTGTGTATGTTTGTGTGTACATATGTTCATATATTGCATAACATACATGATTGAGATATATATATATATATATATATATATATATATATATATGAATGAGAGACAGACAAATATATGTATGTACTGGTTGCCTAAATCCATAAGAATGTATACATCGAATTGCATGTCCCATGATATGATTTGCCAATGTTTCCCCATCGACTGTCAACAAATGCAGTGTGACTTTCTTTTCCAATATGCTTGCCTTGGAATCTTCTTATCCAGGGCCTACTTTTCCTTTGTCCTCCTCCCCCAACACCCTCTATCGCTGTCTTCATGCACATGGCACATTCCTATGATGTGTCAGCAGCCATGTCTCTTTGCTTCTCTTCCACTCCAACTCTTTCACAGTCATCTCAAGGCATTTTCAAGAAAGTAGTCATACTTGAAATCCTCCTATTACACTTTTCTCCCCACTTCTCTTGTCCCCCCCCCCCACTTCACCCTCTCTCTATCATTTCTTTTTCCTCAAGCCCTCTCTCTTTATTTCTCTCATTCAGTTCAATAACACCCCATTCTTCTTTCTTGTTTATCTCTAGAGGTTGGGATAATTTTTTTTTTTTTTTATTGATTGCTTTTGAGGAGAGTAGTGTATTAAGGTGATTGTAATATTGCATCTTTTCTTCCTGCTCCCTCCCCCCACTTTTCCTATTCATTCATTTGCTCGTTCATTCCAATCCTAACTCATTCTGGCTTGCTTTGTTTCATTCCTCTATTCCTTCCTTCTGCAATTGTCTGTTAGATTTCTGTGAAGACTGCTGGTATTTGTACCATTGTTTTCAATTTGTCAGAATTCTTCAATTCTTCACTGTAATTTCTTAAGAATCTTTGCCCCATTGCAAAATGTATTCGAGTAAACACACAGTATTTTAAGCGTTCCAGGCTACATTTGCATGTGTTATCTTATTAATAAAGAAAATATTAACAAAGATTTCTATGTGATTTTGCAGGTTGGGAATTGAATATAGTAATCCTTATACAATACAGAAAAGTCTCAATACAATTTTAATAGGATTTATATTTTTCATCTGATAATGAAACTTAATAGATTTTGTCTTTAATATCAATTGTAAATGTGTGGAGGTATATCAGTAAGTTTATAGCCTAATGATAAAAAGGCATTTATTTTTCATCATAATCTCTTTGCTTATCTCTGCAATTTATTCAATACTTTTCCATTAGTCACATGAGTCAAACATTATATGGATATTTCAGAAATTCAGCTAGAAAATTATTGCTTCCTTTTCATATATAGACTTAATGAAAAAGTACAACTATCCATTTTAAAACATTTTCTGAGTGACAATATTACAGGTGATGCCTCCTCAGGCATTCTTTTTTTCACCATTGTTTGATTATAATTTACTAAGCTCAGGCAATCATGTGTGAGTAGTGTATTGGTATAGAAAGTGATGTCCTTGAGAATGGCATGAATCCATCCCTTGTCCCTCAGCTATGGGTTAAATAGCAGTGTAGATTGAGCTCTCCTGTTTTTGGTAGTAGCTAGTCTATGAGAAGGACAATTCTGAATTCAAAACCATGGAGACAGCAACAGGGAAATACAATCATTGCTAAGAAATGGAATCTGTAAATAGCTATGGTTAACATGTCCCTTCAGGAAAGAGGTATTAAAAAAAAAAAAAAAAAAAGTGAATAGGTTATTTTGCTGGACCTGGTAAAATAGACACCAAGGCTGGTAAATATAAATAATGTTTTAGAACTAAGAATATATTACATTTGAGATCATCAGCACAGTGGTTGTGTGAACTGTGTAGGTAGGACTTTAACAGCATGGATTCTGTGACTGTTGTCTTCAGTGGGTGCACTTGAAATGTATTACCAAGAGAACCATGCCCAAGAGCAAGTTTTGGATTTGCAGAGACTGTTATGCCTGAAGTGCTTAAAATATTCAAAGACTAAATATCCAGGAACACAAGAGATTTATGTTTAGATAATGCCAGCCTTATCAAAAAAGAAAATAATTTTTTAAAGAGAAAAATATTATGAAAATAGATTTATAACAATATTACCAACTATTAACATATGTTTAAAAAAACTACATTGCATCACCATTTTTCTACAGATCCATTATTCATGAATCTAACTTATCTCTTCCGAATACATAAAAATCAATATATATATATATATATATATATATACAAAATACGCCTAAGATATACTCTAATGAAAAATTGTTCAAAATATCCTGCAGTGTCTCACTAACTTTTACTTAATTTAACATTCAGAATGTTTTCTTATACTTATTTGAATATTATCTGCAACTTCCTTATACGTGAAATGTATCCAATCAAAACATCCTACTGCATCTAACTTTTACACACTTTAGCATCTAGAATGTTTGCCACACATATTTAAATATTATCTGTTACTCCATTACATGTGATGCATATCTAAGAAATAGCCTAACACAACATATATTTAATCTCTGTCTTTTTGCTTTTTATCATTTCTATCTTGATTTCTGAGGAAGCTTTAATAAAGTGAAACGTTAGATTAAAATCTGTTTCCTATTTATTCTTTTTTTTTCCTATCATTTTGTTGGATTCCTGTCCATAATCGATCTCTCTTTAGAGACTTCTATATTTCTTTTAATAATTGATGATGAATAAATGATTTTAACTTGAGTTTTAAGAACTGATGGTGGAAAAAAATTTAAAATTGTTTTAACAGTTGATTGTAAAAATAAATAAACTTCTGTGTCAAATCTATGTGTTGTTATTTTTAACATTACTTGCCTTCATATTAATAAAAATATTTACTGGCAAAATAGCCTGGGGATCTATTTTATAGAGATTGGTAAAATAAGCTTAAATAAAAGAACATTTGTCTATTTTTTCAGAAACGGCAAAATAGCCTCTTTCTTAAAAAAAAAAAGCAGCATTTAGTTTGTATAGCTAGATACAGGTTGTCACAACCCCTCCCCCCTCTTTTGATGTTTAGAGGTGTTCTCTTTCATATATAAGAAATCTGTTTATCTTCTCTGAATGCTTAAGTATTTACTAGGTTTAGTTTGGCACAAGGCTCTGAGTGTGAGTGCACTCAGTGAAGATCCCACTACATTGATAATGGTTAGCTGAACTGGTTTGTTAGCCATTGCTTGATGTCAAAACACCTGTTGTATATGTACTTGTCAGTGCAGACCTATTCTGGAGTATTTACATTGATTAAGTGCACGTGTACTGTGTATACATGATTGCTTGAATACATATACAAATTGCACCTGTATAAATATGTACATCTTGATCTGCAAATTTCGTTTAATTTACTCTTACAATAATGGACAATTGTCTATATGGAAAATGCTGATTATAGCTGTATGAAGAGGTACTGAAAAGTTCTTAGCCTGAACAAAAAGGGGTTAAAAAAACAAAAAAATCTAATGTTTGGTCATTTCAACCAAGAATTTTTCAGCATTTTATCATATGCCTGTACATATGCAGGTATGTGTATCACATTATGCAACCCATGTGATGAATGTGGTAGAGAATGTTTCTTCACTGCAGGCCCTGTTATCCACAAGATGAGTCATATTTGTAGACTTCTGACAAATCACAATCATTACTACACTGGGAATAATTTGACATTCTGGGTGTGTCAGAAAACTTGCAGAAACTGCTCCAGTCTAACCTGTCATATGAAAACTTGTGAACAACCTGAACAGAAATTCCAAAACAGGCCAGGCACTGTACACAACAACTTAGTTTGCTGCATCTGCAATAAGCATTGTGAGTCACTTGCTAGCCATTCTCATAAGAACTAAAATATGGATCAAACTTGTCAGTGATGGTCATACTCATTCAATGTGTTGACAGTCATTGTGTGTATCATATGCTCATAGGTGTATGATATTTAATGATTGATGCTTCTTGGCAGAAGATGGCCATCTCTTCAGTTTTTGAATGAGCAATTTGGCTGAGCATAAGTCCATTCTGCAGGCTTCCTTGTATATGATATATATATATATTTTAATATATTTTATTGTTATAAGTTATTTATATAGACACAAATATTTAAGTAAATGCTCTGTTTATAATAAACAGTATTAACAATATTTACCGGCCTGAATGTCAGAAATTTCATAAAAAATATGCATCCTCTGACAGGAATTGAACCTGTTTCCTACACTGAACTGTCTTATAGATTGATGCGCTATACCAGTTTAACTACAAAAGAAGTGTCTAAACTGGTACAGCATGTCAGGCTATATGATGGTTTTGTACAGGTTCGATTCTTGTCAGAGGGCGTATATTTTCTATGAAATTTCTTAAATATTCAGGCCAGTAAATGTTGTTAATACTGTTTATTATAAACAGAGCATTTACTTATACATTATTTATATACACAAATATTTAACAATAAAATACATTAAAAATAATTGTTGAACTTAGTCCATTTTATAATATACTAGCAGTAGAGCCCGGGATGTAAACAGTAAGAGATAGATCAAGTATCGACCATCATAAAGACTGAAAAATAAAATTGACAAAGATTATTATTTAAGGTTGACGGACACGCATGTCTTAATTTTTTTTTTTACGAATTGGTCAAACTGAAACAAAAACATTGTTTTCAATGGTTATGAGTCTACCGATTGAATATAATTTTATTATAAACAATTGTCTTGTAAATGTAATTTTTAAAGCATTGTGAATGTAAAAATAAAGAAAAAAAAGTGTGCAAGACAATAAGAAACACTACCTGCCAAAAAAAAAAAAAGAAGTTTTGTTGAAATCGGTTGAAAAATGTAGGAAATCCGATCACATATATAAATGAACACACACACACACACACACACACACAAACAACCTGGGTTTTTATAATAAGTATAACTCAATATGAGTTGTCCCCCTTTCATTAATGCTTCTTAATCATGTTTTCAAATTGATTTTGTGCAAAAACAATTGTGTTTTTCCCATTTTTGGCACTGTCAGAACCACCACAAGGTAATTTTACATAGTCCTATGAAGTTTTGTTGAAATCGGTTGAAAAATGTAGGAAATCTGATCCAATATATAAACGTACAGACACACACACAATCTGCGTTTTATAAGTAAGATATATATATATATATATATATATATATATATATATATATATATATGGTCTTTGAGTGTATCTAGTCCTTATACACTTATGTCACTCTTCAGACCTGCTACTGACCCACATAGATTGTTAGAAAACTAACAAAATCCCTGCAAGTCATAGGGGACAGCAGTCCCAGCTACAGATATTGTATGTATACTCGGATTTTGTCTTTCTAAGATCCTCTTTGAAGATTTTCACAATCCATCCTTTTTATCTCAAATGCCTTACAAGTATAATTTGCTTGCTCACAGATTGACTTACCATCCCTCAGCATTAATACAAAAATGTTTTTTTTTTTTTTTTTTTTTTTTTAAACATCCTTAAAATATATTTTTGGTTTGTGTTTCAAACATTTACTACAGAACTCTTTATAAAATAGCTGTTTAGGTAATCTGTTATCTCTAATTTTAGTTAAGTATACTGGATATATCATATGAAACCCAATACAGCCATGTGGAAATTTATTTCTGAAAGGAGTGGGTAGGAAAAAAAAAAAGTTATTTCTAAGATTAATGAATATGTCTTTTGGAAACTTGTTGGTTAATGATCTTTGATGTGCATAAAACTTGTAATCATTTGGAGACTTAGTACAGATTAGTGTGGCAGATTGACAGTTGATGCCTCATCAAACAGCTTAGTTGATACATTAAAAAAAAATTACTTTCATTTTCTCTTTTTGTATCAATCTTTACTTCTTTTTTTAGTGCTTTTTTAAAAAAAAATTTCCCTTCACTCTCTTTTCTTTGTTTTTTCTTTTTCTATGTTTCTTCAGGATGTTGGCGATCATCGTTCTCTGCAATTTCCTGTCATAGCTGTTAATAAATTTTGTCTTTTTATCCCTCCTAAACCTTTTTCTTTTAGCTAGCTTGCGAGGTAGGTTGTGCTTTGTTTTCTTTTGTCCATCTTGCCTTTAATCTGTTCTTTGAGTATCAAATTTTCCAAGCCCTCTTTCCTCATGAGCCCTAGAAATTTCAACAATCTCTGCTTGATGTTAAGTATAAATGTCCTTTTTGTTTCCATTTTCTCTAAAACTTTATCGTTGCTCACATGTTTGGTCCATGATATTCTCAGCATCCTTCTGTAGAACCAGATTTCTGTTGCTCCAAGACCCTTCTTCATATATTAAGAGATTGTCCAGCACTCACTGCTATATAGGAGGACTGATATTACATAACAGTTCAATATTCTATTCTTTGTTTCTAACAAAATTTTTCTTTTCTTTATACTTTGCTTAGCTTTAAGGAGACAAATTTTGCTATCACAATGCACCTTCAGATTTCAGTGTTGCACTTTCTGTCCTCTATTAAAACACTTTAAATTGTTGTACTTTTTTGATTTTCGAATCTCCAATTTGTAATTTGCATGTTTGTCTGTTCTTTTTGCTGACAACCAGGAATTCTGTCCTTTTGCAATTGATGCTTTTGGTTATCCATAGATTGTATCAGGCTTGGTGGGATGAAGAAATATGGCAATGATGTAAAGGAAAAAAGAAAACATCCCAAAATAGTGTGTCGGGGGTCATCAGTGGTGAAAGTGGAAATATAGTTTACTAATATCTACTTTCTTGCTTGTTTCTTTTTTTCTTTTTTTTTTTATAGTTTGTTTTCTTTGTTCTTCCTTCTCTCTTTATTACTCTTGTCACCCTCTTCAAGTTTCATTTACCTCTTCTTTTCAACAATAACAATTCCTTCCTATTCTCAAATCAATGTTAAGGAATTTCATGTGATGATGCCAGTGATATGATTTCTCTGAATTTTTCCTTGCGAGCAACTCTAGAACAATTTAAAAAACACTTTCTATCTTTAATTTTTTTTTTTTTCCTCCAAGAGATTAGAATGTACTTTATGAAAGGCTAGTGGCTCCTTAGCTCATTAATAAAACCAGCCCCCTGTGTAGATGGTGTGGGCTAGCAGAGGTGGGGAAGAGGTGTTGGATGTGAGGGTGGTTAGAATCAGGATAAAGAATAAGGAAAAAATCTATACACACTGCTGCTGATCAGGATAATAATGATAAAAAAAAAACCCACAGAAAACCCTATTTTAACATAATGACGATGATAATAGAAACAATATTTTGGGAGGTAAATATATCCCCAGATATAATAACACTCATGATAGGACCAATGTTCTTATAGTTAGTAATAATGAAGACTATAATAGGAAATGATATTCCTTAGGTGATGATGCTAATGATGATGATGATAAAGGGTAAAGTGTGGGTGGGAAATAACAGTGGTTTATAAAAAAAAAAAAAAAACCATCAAGAAAAATAAATTACAGTAAAGGAGAGAAATCTATAGTTAAGCCCTTTCACTGCTTTAAAAGAATTGAATAAAAAAAATGTAAGGAGTGGGGGTTGCTTAACTATTGAATTACCTGCCCAGCCCTGCCCTGCTGTTCTCCGTGTTGCCCAGCACCTGCTTTGTCAGTCAGTAGAAGAATAAAATAAGAGGAAAATTTTTCTTCATTTTTATTGTTTCCTCTCGTTGCATCGTTCCTGGATGTTCGAAATTCCATTCTGCAACCATCAAATGTCTGTGTGCCACCATCTGCCAATTGACACACAAACGGCCAACTTCCTAATTCTTTACTACCTTGTCTGCTGTTTGCTCAAAAAATTATCAAAAAATGTCTGGTATTTTCTCCCATAATTCTTTTCTATCCTCCCGTCCCACTGTTAAATATATTTTTTTTTTTTAATTGAAATGTTTAACTTTACATGTAGAAGTGTCTAAGTTTGGATGGGATGAAATATAATTTCTCTCCACACCATGTGGAAGTTCATGGGACAGACAGTCCAATTGGTAGCTTGATTTTGTGGCCAGGATTTCTCATCAGGGCATTATGTTTAAGATAAATAGAAATGATGCTGTATTTCTCAAAGAATTTAAAGAATTAAACTTGTGGATTTTAGTAAATAGAAAAAAAAGAAGGTGAAGAATATTGAATATATACAAGACCAGTAAAAATGTTTTTGTTACTTGATGTAATGGTTGATAAGCTAGTCTGCCAATTTTCTGTGTAATGAGCTTGATACTCACTGGGTGTCCTACAATTGTAGATTTGTGCCTAACTAACCCTAGTAAAAAGCCTATACAGGTTCCCTACTGTTGTAACCTAGGGAAGGTTACTGAATAGAATAATTAAACGAAAGTTGGTAATGAATGATAATACTTAGGACAAGAACAACACATATAAGATTCACCAGCAGCACATAGAAGAAGTAGTCAACTGCTAGAAGTGAGTCAAGTGAATTCCACAATGAATCTCCAACTGCAGGATATCTACCAAAGCGCTCCATGTGATCAAATGTGGCACAAGGCTGAATTTAATGTGGGGTATCCCAGCCCATATGCTCTGCCACAAATTTCCTGTATACCCGGTATAAAATGGGGTTGGGTAGCTGTTTCCTGAGACAAGATTCTGCCCTTCGACATAGCCTTGTCTGGGGATTCTCTCTGCCTTCAGGCAGAGAGTTTGACCAGCACAGCTGAAGCCAAATCTCCAACTGTAGGATATTTGTCAACCACCCCACGTGGTCAGATGTGGCACAAGGCTGAATTTAACATGGGGTATCCAAGCCTGTAGGCTTGGGCAAAAATTCCCCATAGATCCCATAAAAAACGGGGTCAAGTAGCTGTCTACCACCCCAGATGAGACTGCCCTTCGGCATAGCCTCGTCTGGGTTCCTCTCTGCCCAAAGGCAGAGAGTTCGATTAGCTTAGCTGGAGACGAATCTCCGACTGAAGACCAACATACAATATTTACTACTGTATGTATTGTGAATGGGGACATACCTATTATCGTTTGTAGAAATGCTACAACACCTACCATTAAGGAGGTGTGGGTGGTGCAGTTGATAGTAGTTTGGAATGAGAAATTAGAAGGCTGAGTTCAAATTCCAGTCAGGTTCGTTACATTTACTTATGTTTAATTACCCTTAGGAAAGGTATGAATCTTCTCCCCTAGCTATGGGTTAAATATTAGGACTTGTGTCTGGAAAAAATCATTGTTATTCTAAAAGGATTGCTAATGCAATATTCACCCACAAAACATAAGAATTATCCTTACAATTCAAAATGTTTTGGCTTTAAATAACTCGTAATGGGTCGATAAATCATAAAAAAAATCAGCCAATCACTGCCTCACCCTTACTGCCATTGCTTGTGTAGTGAGTTCAATCATTTCTAGACTCCCTCCACTATTGGCCTTTTACCAGATTAAATCTAGAAAATCAACTGTAGAATCTTTATTCATTATATTTGGTTTTCATGCTTGAAAGTAGCTTCTGTTTGAGATAATTGTAAATTTTTGATCTCTATTTCTTATGTAATTATCCAATCGTTTTTCTTTTTTTTTTGTTTTACAGACAATGAAAAAGAAATACTTTGTGCTACGAGGGTGTAGCAATTCTGGCCCTGCTCGATTGGAGTATTATGATTCTGAAAAGAAATATCGGGCTGGGGCCGGATGTAAACGAAGTATAGAGTTGGCTGGATGTTTCAACATTAACAAGAAAATGGACCCAAAACACAAGCATGCCATTTCACTGTTTACCAAAGATGACTGCTTTTCTGTAGTGGCTGAAAATGTAGATGAGCAGGAGTCTTGGTTAGGCTGCCTTCTTGATTTGCAGAACGATTCCTACCACTTTGGTAAGTATAGAAATCTGTCTTTTACTTCTACACACATGTGCTCACAAAAATTAGCATTTCTTGAAAGGTATAATTTTAAAAAATTTTTTTTTTATTGTAAGAATCAGTGTGACCAATTTAGCCAGTAACATGAACACAAAAATCTACCAAGTTAAAAAAAGTTTTTTTTTTTTTTTTTTTTTTCCACTACTGCATAACAATTTTTGGTTCAGTGAACAGAGATGTGTGTTGTGGTGTAATGAAGGTTGGCTTGGAGTGAGAAATTGGAGATCTGAGTTCAAATTTCAGGCGAGTTTGTTATATTCCCTTGTGAGCAAACATCCTTGGGAAAGGTATGAATCCATCTCTTCTCTCTCCAGCTATGTGTTGAATAGCAGGACAGACTGGATTCTATAACCTTGGTTGGTAACTAGTCTACTGCAGAAAGAAATGGTAACCTATTGTGGGAAAATCTTCTACCTACTTGGTCATAGGTTAAAAGAAAGATAATCAGCCAAGCATGTATCACGTATGGCAATTAATTGATTGACTGAACAACATGCATTTTTATTCCTTATTTCTTTTTACAAAAAATATAAAATAAAGAAAAGTATAGTTGGAATAGCGATACACTTTAGCTTTTTATTATTCCGAAAATATTTCTGTTCAAAACTGACATTGCCAGTAGGCTTATAATCTTTTAAACTTTTTTCTGACCACAAATAGAAAGGAACATTATTTAGGTGTCTCCTTGTATGAACTTGATACTCTCTGGGGATTGGCGATTTCTTAGAGAGCCTTTTACAGCAGCACTCTTTATGTGACTTGAATGTAATATAATGTACAGAGAAAGTCTTTAGCTAAACATGGAATGAAACTAGTAATTAGATATTAAAACTGTAAACTATTGTTATGGCAGGTAGTTGTAAATAAAGATTAGTTTGAGACTTTTTTTCATCATTCAACCTTAACTTTAATGCTTCAAACAAGCATGGAACTAATATGAAAATTCACACAATTTTTTTAAAAGTTCTTAACCAAATTATGGAAGCTGCTTAATCTCTGATCATCCACTCCAAGACAATCGCTGTATTCTTGTTTTCATCTTAGAAATTGTCAACTATGATTTTGGAGGAGTATAAATTATTCCTTCGACCTATTCAGGTTAGTTCAGGTTTTGTTGTTTTTTGATGAAATTATGTAAAATAAAATAAAGATGGTATTGTACATCAGATGTAGCTGAAAAAAAAAATTACCATTGATTTGTTTTTTCAATATTTTATTAAATCAAAGATCCATAATTTCAAATGGGTCTGCTAAGTTAAACGGTTTGGTGATATAGAAACGCTGAAGGTTATTAGTTCAGCTTTTTCTCTCCTCTTTGGTACATGCAGCAACTTATTGAAAAGAGGCTTAGAAGCTGCTACTAGAGAGAGGATAATCCAGAGAGTTTTGAATGGGATATATATATATATATATATATATATATAATATTTATCTCAATATTATTATCAACAAAACAAAAAAAAAAAATACTGACCCCAGAATTTATCATTTTAATGGAATTCTAATGCTGGGAGTGATGAGTTTCCTTAATTAGTATATTTTTTGAAGACCAATGTAATTATATATATATATATATATATATATATATATATATATATATATTTGTTTGAATGACAAATAGTAACTTATTTTTTGTCAATTTTGCTTATTTTGATTTCAAAATTTTGGATGCAAAATTCCTTTTATTGTGTAAGTGCATTCACCCTCCCCCCTCTTTTTCAACTTTTAATGCGGATATATGAACAAAAGGTTACAATGTTTAAGTCAACTAACTATTAAATGAAGGAGAAATATTTAAGCCTGTATACTTTAGTGACTATTGTCTTCAATATTTGATGTCTTTTGTGATGCTTGCTTAATATACAAAGAGTAGCTGACAATGACTGGAAATTCAACTTTTTAGGTCCAAAGTTAAATGCAATTTCAAGAACATCTCTCCATTTATGACATTTTGTATATTATTGGATTCATAATTTTGAAGCCACAAAAATTTAAAATATATATGTATTTTGTGCACTTTGTGATTTTTTTTTTTGGTCAACATAATTGACCAATCAGGAGTACAATTGGAAACAATGTAAAGTTGTTGTGGAGAGGTTCAATTCCTGCGTGCGGTGATGAATAGAGGTGTCTGGATTTTCGGCTACATTCTCGTGCACTGCAGCAATGTTTTCAGCTGAATGTTGTAAACAAGCACACAATGGTGTGTTCACATCTGCCACCGACCCAGTTTGTTTGAATTTACAAACACTTTTCCAATTGCACTCTTAAAACTTTAACATGTTTGATTGGCAGTTTTAACAATGGAAAGATGCCTAAACTTAATTCACATTTAAAATCTGTCCAAGTTATTGGAAAATCCTTTATCATTAAATGAATAAATTTGCTGTAGATATTTATTATATACGCAGTTTTGGCTACATATCCCCCTGGACATCTTCAATTGTTTATTATTTTTTTGAGTTGAGATTGGTTTGGTTTGGTTTGGCTGGGCTGGGCTGGGCTGGGCTGGGATATCTTTTATGATTTTGTTTATTATTGTTATTTCTTTGATTTCTGATGCCTTTTTTTTTTTAAAATGAAAAAGAATTAAAATTCCCTTTCTTATTTCTTAAAAACAATTTTAAACTTTAATTTTTCTTAACATTTAGATTTAAAATGCAGGTGTCCCCCAGGGCTCTATCCTTGGCCCTGCCATGTTTTCAATTTTCATTAACAACCTTCCCAGTGGCATTAGCTCTCAACTTGGTATCAATGCTGATGACACAACCATTTACTCTAAGTCTGATCAGTCTGATAAGTTCAAATTGGCGGCTGATGTCAAAAACAAGCTTCAGTCTGTTAACTGGGGTAAAGGATGGCTTTTTAATTTTAATGCCTCTGAAACTAAACTGCTCTCTGTTAATCATCCGAGAGAGCTCTTTCCATCAGCATGGCTGATGCTAACCTCCATGAGAGTGACATGTTGTGCCTTCTCGAGCTAACATTCTTGGCTGACATGAAGTGGGGAAAACTATATTGAATCCATTGCTAAGTCAGCTGCTAAGAAAGTTGGCTCACTGTGTCATGCTAGACAATTTTTCTCTCCTGAATCTATCTTGCATATCTATAAGTCTACCCTTTGTCCATGCATAGAATATTGCTGCCACATATGTCCTGCTATATATCTAGAGATCCTTGATAAAATCCAAAGGAGAATCAGCAATATTATTGGTCATGATCTGGTTTTTCTGGTTCAGTCACTTTCAACCGATGTAAAGTTGCATCCTTCTGCCATTTCTATAAATATTTCCATGAAAACTGTTTGATGAGCTCTTCGTCAGTGCACCTAGACTTTATGAAAGTGCAGTACTAGATTGGCGTCAAAGTCTCACCAATATATAGTTTTGGCTAGATAAAACCGTAAGTTCTATGATATCAGTTTATTTTCTCACACTTCTCAATTGTGGAACTCTCTTTAAGCTCCATGCTTTCTGGCCAACTTTAATCTGCAAAAATTTAAATGCAATGTCAATCACTTTCTACTGTTCTCCTGATTACTCTTGCTTTATTCCTGCTGCTTATTAAAGTTTCCGTTTCCATATCCAGGAACCCATTCTGTTGTAGTGTCTTTAATGCCTTACTTGGGAGGAAATAAATGAAAAAAAAAACGTCCCTTCATTCATCCTCAATGTCCAACAGCTTAAAAAGCAAAAACCTCTCATCCCTTTTGTAAACATTAAGCAACATACAACTTTATAAATGAAACTGGACTGTTCCTCTGGTGGCATTTTCCTAGAATTTGCAACTCCATCTAAAATGGTCATAAATTAGCATTTCAAGGCATCTCCCTTTTTGTGAGGGATCAGCTACAATGTTAAAACCACTTGATTTCTGTGCAAGTTAGAAATGGTGGGGAATTTTAGTAAGAGAGGTATGAAGAAATAAATTCAATTCAGATGGCATTTATTTAGTGTAGATTTAAAGTAGAATTAACCTTGGTAAAATCTTTAGTGACTGACAAGATTTAGTAGTTATTAATTTATCAGATGAAAATTATTTGTTTTTACTGATTATTAGAATATATTACTTTTCCAGTATCCTCCCCCCTTACATGCATCATCTATATGATTGGGTGTAGGTTACAATTCTATATTGTAGATGTCTATGATTTCCAAGTTTTAAATAAAAGCAAATAAAGATATAAAATTTACAAGAAATTTAGATTCAACTCATTAAAATGCATATAAAAGGTTTTTCACTAAGATAGATCAAAGTCAGCAGTAAATAAATCAGTGTTATTGGTGAAATTTTATTTATTTCTCTATTGGATCATGTTATTTAAATCATGGCAATTATTTGTGAAAAAATAATATTGCCCAAATATCTGCTAAGGCTTCGGCAGCACACCTCCACTTGATGGTCAAAATTTTTGATGATGTTTCTACATAGTTGCTCTTCGATTTCACCAATATGCCTTATTATCTCATCTTTCAGCTGTTAAATTGTTGTTGGCTTGTTGGCATAGACTTTACTTTTGAGATGACCCCTAAAGGAAGAAATCTAAAGGCGTCAAGTTGAACGATCGTGGTGGCCAATTGACTTTGCTGTTTTGAGAGATGATGTGACCTGGGAACTTCTTTTTGCATTTCTGTTTGGATGTTCATTTTCATAATTGGCTTTGATAACTTTAACAGATTGTTTGATTGTTAATCTTTCCATGGTTGAAATTGCGAAAGACTCAAGTTGTTAAATCTGAAAGAAAAAGAAAAAAAATCATTAGATGCTTAAACTTAATTCACATCTAAAATCGTTCTAAGTTATTGGACCACTCCTTACTTATGTAGTTTTCATTTCCCATGCAGACTGGAATAAACAAGAAAAGATATCAATTGAATCAGCCTTCGTTAGGTGCTTGCTGATCTGGATAACATTCTGGGAATTTTAAACTGAACACTTTATTTAATCTATGGCAG